CTGCAGGGAATCAAAGACAACTCAAGACTTTTTTGGAAATGAAAACTCCCTCCAGAGACTTCAACTGAATAGATATTTACTATGCTGGATGCAGTGGGGAAGGCAAAGACAAACATTCTCGCTGGCTTCTGCTGCTGAATGAATTGGGAGGCAGAGCTATTAGAAGAAGCAGTGCCCCTCTAAACCCTCTGTTTCCTCAGGACAGCCCCACCAGCATCTTTCTTCAGTCCTGGTCCCTTCTTAAAGCGTTAAACTAACGCCTCCGCACCAGGAATTCACCTGGTTCAATGACTGTGCAGATGAAAATATGACTCTGCTTGGAGAAACGTCTATCTCCTCCAAAAGAAGAGCAGGATGAGGGCTAGTGGGGCTGAGAATGTATTGCCCAGGCTGATGGAAGCTTGCAGGCCGTCTTGTGGGAGGATAGCTCAGGCAGGCTTGAAGTTTAACTACTGGAGATCTTCCACTTAAAAAGAAAAGGTAACTTTGGCCTGTTCCAAAGAGGGTAACTCAGGAGGCAAAGTGGAGTACAAAAGGTGAGGGGGGAGTGCATTCCTTGCATAGGAGACAGCCTATATAAAGGCTGGGGAGATGGAATATTGTGCGTTGAGGAACAGCAAGAGAATCAACATTTTGGCTGGCCTGTGGAGTGTGTGAAGGGGAGCCCTGAGGGACTATTCTGACTCTCGGACTGTTTGTGGGATGTGAAACCCCCTTATTCTATAGACCCAGAAACGATGAGATCATATGACTATGTGAAAGGGCAACATCCCAATAATTAATGGTTTCTTCAAGTGCTTGGGAGTCACAGCACCTCGGCATGATGAAGCTGATCATAATAACACGGCCAAACGGTGCCAATCAGGCTGAATGATACCATAATGGAGCAGTCAGCCACCACCTTACTGAGCTAGGGCCTCCCAAGTTGGCCTGCATCATTAATGAATGGGGCCAACTCCCCCGGGGCTGGGCTAGGTTTGGAAGGAGACCTGGGAGAGGGGAAACTCCAGCTCGAAGTGAGGGAACAGCCTGCATGTTTCCATAGCTCCAGCCTGACAACAGCAAAGAACTTTTCTCTGCATTGGATAAGCAGAAGAAAAAGTAGCCTGCCTGCCACGTGAGTCTTTGGGATTGTGAGGGGTTGTGGTGGGGAAGGACTTTCTGGTCCAAGAAGCACAGACTGGAGGGGAAGGCGTTAGGCTGCCCATCCCAGGCAAGGTGTAGGGTGTCAGATGGGAAGTTTTTAATGAAAAAGGTGCTTTTCACTAAAGCAGATCCCACTGCCTTTAGGATAAAGCCCAACTCTTTTAGCCTGGCATTCAATGTCTCTGTAAATTGCCCTCAACCTACCTTTCCAACCTTATCTTCCACCACTCTCCTATATGAACTATCTGTTCTAGACAGGGTGGTTTCCCCTGACACCCCACACTCACTGCCACACCTTTGAACCTTTGATCAGGATGTCTGTCTCACCCAGGAGAGAGCCAGTGTGGTGGAGCTCAGCTGGACTCAGATTTGTCCGTTATAATGGACAAGCCACCAAGTCTCAGTTTCCTTATCAATAAAATGGGTATAATAGTACCTGCAGAACTTACCTTGGAGGATTCTCATAAGAAACAAATGGGGAAATGTTTGTAAATTCATTGCAAACCTTAAAGGGCTTTATAAATGTTAGTTGTCACCACACACTCTTCTCTTATTCTCTAGTTCTTTTCTACGTGTGTCTTGTCTTCCCAAACCGATTGTGAGCTCCACTATGGCAGGGCACATCTCCCTTCATCCATCATTCCCCTATCCCCTGCGCCCACCAGCCCTCCCTCCTCATCCTTAGTCTGGCCCCACTGGGATTGCTAAGTAAAGGCCTGTAGAGCTGAAAAGAGAAGTTAATGAGGAAAGATGAAGAAATTCTGCAGATGTAGTAGGTTAGGGATGGTTCAGAAGAGGGCAGCAGAAAGGGCACTGGGTTTGTAGTTAGAGGGATCTGGATTCCAGTTCCTTACTGACACAACTTGTATAACCTCAGGCATGACACTTAATCTCTTTAGATCTCGGTTTCTTCATCTGTGAAATGGGGTGGTTGGATTAGATGACCTCAAAAGCTCCTTCCAGCTTTAAATGTACAATCCCATGTCTTACGTAATGTTAGAGGTGGAAGGGCCCTCAAATCATCTGATCCAATCCCTTTTGTTGGACGGGACTTGTCCAAGGTCTCACAGTGACTCAGTAGAAGAGCCTGGACTACATTAACTGAGGTCTCCGGACTACCAGTACTGAGATAATGTCAGACTGCCTTTCAAGACCTGTTTCTTAATCTGCCCATGCATGCCTTACTTTTCCTAGGATGGTGCTAGTTTGCTCTCTCCCATGATAAAATGCTAAGGAACTCATGCAGCCCCCAAACATTTAACTCCTATTAAGGCTTTCTCCTTCACTGGCAAAGGACAGGTCTTAGCTGTCTCTTGGGGGATACTCACCCTGACTCTGCTCTACTCAGACCAGGTGATTCCCCTCAGGGCTGAAGTTTCCTTCACCTCTACTTTGCAGATGAGGAAACTGAGGCAAAGGTGGTAAAAGTTGCAAAGATGCAAATTTAGCCTTGATGTGAATTTCCTAATAATTAAAGCTGTCCAAAAGTGGAAGTGCTGGCCTTGGGAGGCAGTGAGCTCTCCCTCACTTCAAGCAGAAGCTGAATGACCTCCTTGAAGGTATGCTGCAGTTGGGATATTTCTTTTGGACATGGTTTGGACTAGGTGCCCACTGAAGGCACAGTTGGTAACAACAGCTATGGCATGAGGGGCTTCTACCTCTTCCAGAAGCCCCTAAACATCTCTTTTCCCAGCCTCTTGCCAATGACTCAAATTCCTCTATAAAAGTTCTATTGCTTTGTGTTAGGGTATTTAACAGAAGGGTACCCCGTAAAATGAAAAACCCCTACGGGAGGGATAAAAAAAGCCAGCCTGAATTAGTCTAACACCCCTATGCCTCAGTTCCCCTGCATGTAAAATGGGTGTAATGATTCTCCTCTCTTCTTTTAGGGCTGTGGGTAGTATTAAAAGGCTGTGCTTCACAGAAGGTGGAAAGTGCTGAGGTCAGCTGTCCTGTTCTCAGCCTTCCCAACCTAGGCCACAAACAACCTCCCCCAATGGCTCCCTCTTTCCAGCTTCAACGTGGTCCCTGGAAAGCTTGCCCTATTAAAGCAGTCTCCTATGGGACGCTGCCCTTCCCCCAAACTCCCTCCTCAAGCCCCCCCCCCCCCCCCCCGCCTGCTTTTCCCAGAGAACTGGGAGGGTAGTCTGCTTTAGCGCCAGTATCATCTAGCTCCCCCTATGTACGTGGCTTTCGACTCAAAAAGTCAGAGGAAAACTCTGTGAAAGAACACTCCGTCCCCAAAAGCTCTGAGACAAGCCCTCCCCTCCCCTTCTCCCCCCCTCCCCCTCTGCCCATGTGACCCAGCTTGATACGGTCCAGACCACAATCACAACAACTGCTGGAGCTGCTGGCCAAGGGGCCAGATGCTGGAAAAGGGCTCTGCAGCTCTCAGCTTATGGGGCTGAGCCGTGGTATGGGGAAGGGGGTGGGGGCAACCAGGCTTCTGGAGACCCAGGGCTCCCTCCCTCACTGGCTGGCTGATTGTTGCTGCATTTCAGGCTTATTAATAATAAAGACAATGATGGTAATTAGCGCAGAGTACGAGCCAAGTCTGACTCCCAGACTCAAAGAATTTTGGAGCAGGATGGGAGGGACTAGGGTCTAAGTCAGGCCAACAGTATCCGAAGGACAATATAACCAAACCCCAAAGACTGACTGGGCGGGTTGTTTTCTGTCAGGGGCACTGGGGCTGGGGCTCACTAGGCTATAAACAACTCAAGCTGTCAGAGCCCAAAGAACATGGCAGCCAGAAGCCAAAACATTAATGCTTAACCTTTGATTCTCTCCCAAGCCTGAGGCAAATTGGTCCTGGTGCCAGGACAACTGTTCCTCCAGTTTGCCAGCCCAGATGTGCCCACTGGCCCACTGTTCTGAACTGCTCTGAGTGTGCCATCTGAATCCGGATGGGAGGAGACAGACCGAGGAAGGGAAAGTGGAGACAGAGTCATGTACCCCTCCTCCCCAAATCTTCTTGGAATTCAGCGCTGAGCTCTGCCTCTGGCCAAGCAGAGGACCGCCTGAGACTGGTTTCTAGCAGTTCCCAGCCAGCAGTCCCACCCTGGACATTCCCTAGGGGGCAGTTCTGCGCAGTCCAACAGTTATGGGCTTACTCACAAACAATGCTCTTGAGGGAATCTGCAGGGGGGATAGCAAGGAGCTGGTAGCTTCCCTTGTTTTACAGAAGGCATTGCAAACTTCTACTAACCCATCCTGCATGCCCTTCGAGGCTCTGCTTAGATTCTGCCTCCTCTATGAAGCCTTCCCTGACAACTCAAAGCAACACTGATTGCTCCCCTTTCTGCCTGCCCAAAGCTCTTACTGTCTATCCCAGAGACCTGATCACCTGCTTATAATCAAATTAGCATTAACATAATATTGTGTAGCTATTTTGTGTTTCATCTTTGTAGGAAGACTGTGAGCCCCTTGAGGGCAGGGCATGAGTGCTTCTCTTCTGTCTTCCCTAAATTGGGAGCTCCCTGTGATCAAGGAGTAACTTGACTTCTTCCCATTCTCTCCACAGCAGAGTCAAGCATAGGCCTGAGCACAGAGAAGACGTTCAATAAATGTCTTTATAATAAACTTTTCTTCCAATCTGAGAACCCTGTTACCCAGTCTTGCTTATTGCCCACCTCCCCATCCCTTGGTCTATTTGTACATTTGCAACTGACTGAAATATTGTGATCTCCCAAGAGTTAAGGGCAATTGGTACCATCCAGCCCAAGTCTCAGACTGGAATGAGGGGAGAACGTGGGTGGGAGAAGGTTCTCTGCCTACTTCTGCTTTGTCTAAAGGCTGCTAAAGCCTGGGAAAGGGCAACCCAGCTATCTCCAGTCCCAGAAAGGGGCTCCTACCTCGATAAAGATCCTTTTCAATAAGTCTCATCTGAAGGTGGAATATTTCTTCCTGAAGTTTGCAGATGGAGTGTTTCATTTTCTCTCGCCTTGTCACCATGTAGCACAGATTTCTAACCTGAGGAGACACAAGAAAAGATTTCCCACCTTACAGAGTGACTATGAGAACCACCCCCTCTCTGTTCCCTGGGGGTCACTGGGAAACGGGAGGGCAGCAAACACTGTCTGAGGGCCTCGCTGGGCACCCACAGCCCTTCTCTTCCTCCTGGCCTCCAGTTATCTACCCCATGCTCATGGGCATGATGACAAAAGCCAGTGTGGGGTTAGACAGCTTGGGTTGTATTTCAGTTCTGCTACTTTTTACCCAGGTGACTCTGGCCATGACATTTAACCTCTCTGAGCTCAGTTTCCCCATCTGGAAAATAAAAGGTTAAGACTAAATGACATCTATGATCTCTTCTACCCCCAAACCTATAATCCTATGAATAAGCTAATTCCCAGCCAAGAAACTAGCTGTTTGGGATTCTGGCTCTGATGTGCTTGAGCTGTGGAATCATGGGTGACTTTCTGAGTTAGGACGAGGGTGTACTGTACCCTACCTTACGGGTTGTGATGAAAAAACTTTACAGATCTTTAAGTGACACAGAAATATTAACTATGATTATTGCCGTAATAACTGTTATAACTATAGTGTTGGAGAAGCATACCGGATATAGAGCCTGATTCAGCTGGTAAGACCGGGGTTCAAGTTCAGCCTCTCACAGATAGACTGTGAGACCCTGGGCTAATCATTCAGCCCAGTAGTGCCCCAGGTTACACCCTAAGTTGCAGATCTGCTTTGGTAGTGGGGATTTCCTCATCAGAATTCCCTATGCCAATGAAATCAAAGGTCCAGTGCCCTCCACTTAAAAAAAAAATGAGAAAGATGGGCTACGCCATTAGTGCTGATTCTTCAGTTTCCAGGACTCTCTGAAGTAGTAGTCTCTTCTGTCCCTCACCTCATTCCCTTAGCTATGGAATGGGGCTAGGGCATATGACTTAGCTAAGAAGCATCCTCCGAGATGATTGACGCGCTTCTGCTCTGAGGTCAAACTGCCACATTCTGAGAGTAAGCACTGTCACCTGAACACCCCAAACCCCTCTCCTCTTCTATCTGTGGTGGGAGACCCAGGAGGAAGCAATCCCTCCCCCATCTCCGCCACTGGCCTTCCTGCTACCCTAGCTCCTTCCCCACCATTAAGAACTCCACCCAACACCAGCGGCTATGAAGAACCAACCTCATCTTAGCCTGTTCCCAAAGCGGGGGTGAGCAGCCAATTCACCAATTCATCAGTTCCCTGTCTGTCCAGCACACGGCCCCTTCCACGGCGTCCTTATTCTGGAGTCACCTCCGGAGATAATCCCCTCTACGTCTCTGCCTTATTCCCAGACAGCAGGAGCTGCTTTCCTTTCCTTGCCTGGACCCTCAGGGCCTCGCCCTATCCCAGTTCAGAAGTGTATTATTTTGTTCTTTCTCATAACTCACCCTCTTCACGTGCTGTAGTAGGCTCCTGTCTGGGAGCTCCTCAGGCACTATTGCACCAGACTGGGTTTTAATTCTGTTCCTTCCTTAACTTGAGGGTCAGGGACAAAGGACAGGTCACTGGCCACCAGGGCTTTTGTGTGTGCCTATGCTCAGATGTATTCATCTCCCCCACAAGTACTTTCGAGAGCTTCCATCAAGAATTCTCATGATTCCACTCTGGGTCTGAACTTGAATTAAGAAACAAATGCCCTATGGCAAGGGGCTGTCTTCCTCCTACCTCCCTACCTCTATCCTTCGCACCTGAAAACCTTAACTGGCTTCTAAATTTGGGGACCGGTTCTGAGATCCCAAGGTATTTGTAAAACCCTGCTCTTAAGTTTCCTGCTCTAAGCTGTAACATTCAAATGTCTCTATTCGTATTGACGTCTGAAGGTCAGGATCAGGCTTTGGCAGAAAAAGGCAAGGGGGAATGGGGAGGTCAAACACAAAATGCTGATATTTACTACCTGAACCTTGCTCAGGAGGGCCAGGGTTTGGGGTTATAGCCCACAGGCTTCTAACATGTCCTGCTGTCCCTGCTGTCACATTTGCAAACAGGGACTAGAAATTCCCTTGACTGGAGGCCCTCCAGAGATGCTTTAAGTGCCAACCACAACTGCTGAGCTGAGTTAAGTCTGCATGAATGGGAGAAGTCCCTACCCAGGGCCTCCATTCACAAAATAGAGAACTAGGAGGGGAAAACTGCCTTCCAGAAGCCACACGGTTCATCCTCCTGCAGTGTAGAAACTCCCTCTCCATCAGCCCTGACAGGTGGCATACAGCCTCACCTGGAATACCTCTAATGCCTCACAAGGCAGCCCACTGCATTTCTGGGCAGCTCTGATTGTTATAAAGTTCTTCCTTCTATCGAGCTGAAACCAGTTCTTCAGCAACTTTTAACCACTGACCTCAGCGCAGTCTGCTGAAGCCAAGCAGAACCCGCCTCTTCCCTCTTCCACATGATAGCTCTTAAGGGAAATGTGGCAAATTCAGTGGTGGGGCCTGGCCCCGAAGTCTATTCCCACAGTGTTCAGCCTGGGTCTCTAACCACTGGTCCACCCTGACACCTGGCTATGGTGGAGGGAACACACTGAATAAAGAATCACAACCTTTGTCATTCTGCCTGGTTCTTGTGGTACTGCCTGGCCTCTAGCCTATGCAGCTCCCTCAAGACAAGATTCCTGAATAGCAGCTCCTACTCAGCTACAGGAGAGACTTGTAGGCCAAGCACAACGTCCTCATTAGGACGGTGATGCCGACTGGAGTTGTCTTGAGTTCTTCTGAGACTCAAATCATAAGCTTCACTGTAAAGGGTAGTGAGTCCAGTCCTAGGAAGTGACCTGCCTTCTCTGCTGGGAAGACAGGTTACCTAAACTACCACATCTTGGGCAGGTCGACACCACTGCAGAGATCAAGCAAATACCACGGCTTCCACAGGCCCATCATGCTGGAGGGAGAAACCATGACCCAGGGTCCAATCCCTTTCAATCTAATCCAGTCCGATGAATCCCATCGCCACCTTATGGTTACAGGTCAAGAGTCTGCCCCGTGTCATCTTTGTCCCACGAGGACTGGGTCAGAAACGTCAGTGCAGAATCCCAAGCTCTTTGGTTGATTTACGTCCACCCATAAAAACTGGGCCGAATCTTCTATCCATTCAACTTTGGCTCCCACCCCATCCACTTCAGCACACACCCTCTGTTCCAGTCAAGCTAGTCTTGTTACTTCCCTCCAACGTTTACCAGGTTTACAGGATCATAAATTTACAGCTGGAAGGAACCTTGGAGCCCCTGATTTTATAGATGAAGGAACTCAGGTCCAGAGACGTTGACTTGTTGACGTCACACACTGTTAAGTATGGCAGGACTGGATCTGCCAAAGGTCACACATCTAGTGAGCATTCGTGGCAGGTCTGCTCCATACACCATGCCACACTGTGTCTTTACTCCTGTTGGCGCTCCAACCTGGAAACCTTTCTTTCTCCCATTGGCCTATCCAAACCTTTGTCCTGATCCTTTACCATTTAGCTGGTTTCCTGTCTCCTCCAGACAGCTTTCTCTGACTGCTCTTCTCTACAATGATCTCACCTTGCTCTGAACCCCTAGGGCACTTAGCACCATCTATGCCCCTTAGCCTAGTGCCTAGCACACAATGCTCAGTATCATTTTTGGTTTCCTCTGTGGGATCTTAGCTCTCTAAGCAAACTGTGAGATTTCTGAAAACGAAAACCCGCTCACAGGATCAGCAAATCTCCTGCCTCTGCTGTCTCTGCCAAGGTGCATCACAGAGCTGGAGACACAGTCCCCGGTAAATACTCAGTACACATATGTCTGATTGACTGCTGACGAAGGGAAGCCCTTGGCTAAAACCTGTGGTTTACCTTCCTTCTTGTCCAGCAATGAGATTTTACTTCTTAGGCTAAGACAGCCTGAAAATGGCTGGAGGAAGAAAGGAGGCAGACAGCTGGGTACAGAAGGCCACAGGGGCAGGCTGCTGTCTATAGTTACGTGTCACCACCCCTGCATACGCTTTTACAGTTTGTAAATCTTTTATTAATGTCTTCCCACATTACTAAAGCCTTGGCACTTACAATGTAAAAAATAATCACTAGTCATTATTACAGTAAATTCCTCTTGTCAAATGATGACTTCAACGCAATTTTTGTTTTCCATATTAAAAACCAAACCAAACCAAACCAGACCAAACCAAACCCTGGGAGGTGAGGAGGGAACTGATAAATAATAGGTAAGAGAGCTACTGCTAGGAAATTATTTAAAAGGTGTGGATCATTCTGGGAGTGGTTAGGCCCCTGAGTGAGTGAAAAAGAAAGAGCAGACTGGAGTACGTGGAGCGTATGGGGAATGGATCCCTAAATGAAGATCTTTTGATGCTGATTTTGCGTTCAGAGTGTCAGGGGGGAAGTGTGACCAAGTTTAAGTCCTGGGAGCTGATTCTATGTTGGATGGGTGGAAAGGAAGTTCTAGGTAGGGGTAGGTAACTCCTGTCTGGGGAGTGGGCCAAAAACCTTGTACACCCAGGGTCCCATGGCCATGAAGCAAGGTCAGCTTTCTGGGCGCTGGGATGACCAAGCCCGGGCAGATGTAGATGCATGATCGGCACAGTTCTTAGTCCTAGTAGTTTCCACACAGGCAAACGGAGAACTCAGGGAGAAAGAAGCCAACAGACCTGGATACTGGATGTTAGTATGATTAGTGGGAAAAGTGTGTGTTTGTGTATACAGATCACAGTCAAGTAGAACCTCTGGACCCCTTCCAAGCTCCAGGGATGGAATGATGTGCAAACTTTCTCCAGCGAGGTTTCACTTAGTGTAGGTTCTCAGCAAGGGGCTCTTGTCCCAAAGCTGCTCCCAGATTTTCCTAGCTCCTCCATAAACCATCTGTTGCTGAGTTCTTGGAATAACACTCCAGCTGCCCCTTAGTCCTAGGAAGTCACTGATTAAACGGAGCTCTGTGGGAGCAGAGTGTCGCACACTCAGACACAGACACAGACACACAGAGTCCCTGATGAAAGTCCTTGCCTGGAAAGATGACACA